TTCAGAGCATTGGTTTTGAGTGTGTTTGTGTGTGTGTGTGTGGGGGGTGGGGGGTGGGGGTGAAGAAAAGAATAGAAATGATTGTAGGTGATGTCATTAAGCCGTTGGTCAGGCCAGAAGAGGAAGTACCGGGGAGAGACGACACAGCGGCCACAGGTGACGTCCAGACGTACTGGACTTTGTGATACTTATGCTTACATTGTGTGCATACCGTTCAGCATTATTGTTACGTATGTAACAAAACATTTCCTTATTGTCCTGTATCTAGCACGGATTATTATTCCTCCACCACCCAAGCCCGCCCTTCCGCGTCACAATCCTCTTTCCACCACCACCACCACCACAACTACTACAGAATCCACCTTACACGCGACCATTGTCAGCATCATCACCGCTACCCATCACCTCCACTACCTCCTCCAACACCACCACCACACCCACTAACACAGCGAACATCATCACTAGCGTCACCACCACCATCATCACCACCCCCACAAACATCATCACCACCACCACCACCACCACAAAATCCACTTTCAACACAACCATTGTCAACATCTCCACCACTACCTCCTCCAACACCGCCACCACACAGTCAACATCATCACCAACATCATCACTAGCATCACCACCACAACCACCACCACCACCACCCCCACAAACATCATCACCACCACCACCACAAAATCCACCTGCAACGCGACCATTGTCAACATCAACACCGCTACCTATCCCCACCACCTCCTCCTCCAACACCACCACCACATCCACTAACAGTCAACATCATCACCAGCATCATCACAAACATTACCACCACCACCACCACCACAAACATCATCACCACCTCCTCCACCACCAAGGCGCACACAGGAATTTAACTGATTAACTCAAAAGTCTTTAATATAGTATCTCTAATTAATGTTTTAAGTACTGTTTTGTTTGGCTGTCTTTTTTCTTTTGTTTAGTTATTTACTTATACATTTTTATTTTGAAGAACTGAGTAATTGCAGTTAGATATTTGTCTTTCATAGATGAGCCTCGTCGGACGGCACTTAAAAGATCACGACAACCAATGCAAAGCAAAATTGTGTTGCGTGCCACTATTGAATTAGTATTAGTTAGCACTGTTGAAAAGGGAGTCATGTAGTATGAAAATGTTTGATTTTTTAAATCTGTGCAACAAGCGCTCTCATTGTTTCGTCTTCTCCTCCTCCTCCTTCTCCTCCTCCTCCTCCTCCTCCTCCTCCTTCTTCTTCT